AATCCATACAGTGTGGAAGCAGGCCATTCAGCCCATTGAATCCACATTGACCCACTGAAGAGCATCCCACCCAGACCCACTGATCAAGTCGGCATCCTGTTCGAGATATAACCATACTACTAGTTGTCTGATCTACTATTATTCAATGTTTTGATTGAATTTTATAAGAAATTCAAAACTAGTAGCCTGATACCAAGACATGCTTTGAGATTAGCAATTCTCTGCGGTAAAATATTTCTGTCTGTTGTAATTACCTATTTTTGAAGAGGTTAGCACTCTTCACTAAATATTTCTTTTCCAAAAGTGCTTCTGCTCCCCTCTATATCTCTCGCTGAACAACGAAACAAAAGTTCCCATCCCCATCCTGAAAGCACCAATTGCCTGAGTACATCCAGAACCTTATTTTGCATGAGGAAGTTCTTCCTAATTATCCATTCAACTGGCCCAGCTCACATTTTAAGAGAACTTTGCCGAATTTGATTTTCGCTCTGCCCAAATCCTTTCTTATTAATTTGTTTTAAGACCCTCAAGCTAGTCACGTCTTGACCTTCGATACTCGGTCTCTCACTTGCTGAAGTATTTTTTTGTCGCCCTGTCTTCTCTAGCCTCCGCGATTCAGTTCTGTCATATTTCACGTCCAGTTCTGAGGAAGGGTCACCGGACCCGTCCAGTTCTGAGGAAGGGTCACTGGACCCATCCAGTTCTGAGGAAGGGTCACCAGACCCATCCAGTTCTGAGGAAGGGTCACCAGACCCGTCCAGTTCTGAGGAAGGGTCACTGGACCCAAACCGCTAACTCTGACTTTTTTCCTCACAAATGCTGCCAGACCTGCTGAGCTTTTCCGGCAACTTCTGTTTTTGTTCCGTCATATTTTGCGTTGTTTTCAGCCTCTTTACTGTCCATCGTTCCCATCTGACGTTTGTTTTCTCTTTAATTTGTTCATGGCATGAGGGCATCGCTGGCATGGGTCAGCACTTATTGTCCTTTATCCTTAACTACCCTGGAAAAGATGGTGGTGACATGCCTTCTTGAATCGCTGTAGTCCTTAGAGCACAGCAACACCCTCAGTGCTGTTAGGGAGTTCTAGGATTTTAACCCAGTGACAGAGAAGGAATGGCAATATGTTTCCCAAGTGGATGGTTAGTGGCTTGAAGGGGACCTTGGTGTGGTGTTCCCATTTATCTGCTGCCTTTGTCCATCTAGATGATGGGGGGCACGGTTTCACAAAGTGCTGTTGAGGGGTTTTCAAATTTTCAGCATATTCTCACCCTGATTTAATTGCGTCGCTTTTTCTGAGCAGAGATAGTTGGAATCGCTGCCACGGTAAAATCAAGAATCAGTAGCGATCGCTCAATATCCTTTAGTGAAGGAAATCTGTCATCCTTACCTGGGCTGGTCTTTTTACAGTTCAAGGCCCAAATGAATGTGTTTGAATCTTCACCGTACTGTGAAATAGCACTGCAAACCATAAAGATGGTTCACCAACACTTCTCAAAGACAATTTGGGACAGGCAATGAACACAGGTCTTTCCAGTTCATAAGTGAATAAGTTAAGGCAGAGATATACTGTTGGAGATATAGTCATACAGTTAGCTGTTTGGTCTAGTTATATGCAATGTTTTGATTCAATCTGATATGGAATTCAAAACTAACAGCCTGACACCAACATATGCTTTGAGATTAGCAATTCTGTGCGCTGAAATGTTTCCTGTTGTCGTAAATACCCGTTTTCTGAAGAAGTCAGCACCCTGCACTAAATTATTCCTTTCTTTTTATCCATTTTATCGATAACACTTTGTCTCAGCACCAATAAAGAGGTTCTGCGTAAATTGAACCCAGAATCAACAGTTGACCTCGTTGTCTGGACTTGGCAAAAAGTCACTGGTGGTTCGATTACTCGATTCCCCACAACCCCATGACTCATAGGCAAAAGTGAAGACAATAAGCTCCTGTCTCAGAGCTAGGTTCACTGGGTTCTGAGACAGCGCTGACTCAGCAGAGAAGCCACACTGCAGAGACCTCAAATTTTCAACATATTCTCACCCTGATTTAATTGCGTCACTTTTTGTGAGCAGAGATAGTTGGAATGATACCAGTGCAACACTGATGGAGACCTGCATTCCCACAATTTAAAAATGAGACCTTGTTTGAAATTAAGTTTGTGAAGTGTGAAACTGGATAGAAATCTCTTTCTTGATAATTTTATTTTAATCTACAGGTTGCAACATTATATATGTTTGCCTCCCATCTAATTCCCCTGTTTACCAGTGCTTATTATGTTATTAATTTAAACTAAATCAAGCCCGTGTGAACGGTGACAGCACCTTAGAGGGTCACTGTAACAAAGATCAAAATAGAAATGAAACTTACAGAATTTTAAATTAACATTGGTCTTGGGGAATGACGTTCAGCCCAGCCCTTTTGTTACCTGTTGGTCATGAAAGACTAGAGTCAACAGTATCCTCTTCAAAGCACTCAGTTAAGGGATGGGCCTTCATCTGTACACTGTAGCTATATAATTAACATACTATTGACACACTACACCATTTTGCTGAAGTATTGGGAACGGTATCTTGGACTCAAGCAACATCCGTAAAACACATTATCAGCACATTATTAAGTTACTGATTGAGGGACTATGCTTTCTGTAACTTTTTAACATGGCCAAAATAAACACATGACAAAAGTACTGAGTTGACTGTAAAGTTGTGAGAATATGAAAGATGTTTGGAAGAGCATTGAAAGACAATATAAAATATAGAGGGTGCAATTCTAAAGGGGATGCAGGAGCAAGGTGTATATGTGCACAGATCATTGAAGGTGGCAGGACAGGAGAGAGCAGTTAATGAAACATATTTGTCACTTTTTGTGTCATTTATATAAATGATTTGGATGTGAATGTAGGAGGTATGGTTAGTAAGTTTTAAAATTAGTGGTGTAATGGGCAGCGAAGAAGGTTAGCTCAGAGTACAATGGAACCTTGATCAGATGGGTCGATGGGCCAAGGAGTGGCAGATGGGGTTTAATCTAGATAAATGTGAGGTGCTGCATTTTGGAAAAGCAAATCAGGGCAGGAATTATACACTTAATGGTAAGGTCCTGGGGAGTGTTACTGAACAAAGGGACTTTGGAGTGCATATTCATAGTTTCTTGAAAGTGGAGTCACAGGTAGACAGGATATTGCATTTGGTACACTTGCCTTTCTTGGTCAGTAAACTGAGAATAGGAGTTGGGAGGTCATGTTGTGGCTGTACAGGACATTGGTTAGGCCACTTTTGGAATACTGCAAAAGGGTTTAGAAAAGATTTGCAAGGATGTTGCCAGTGGTGGAGGGAGAGGCTGAGTAGTCTGGGGCTATTTTCCCTGGAGCATTGGAAGCTGAAGGGTGACCTTATAGAGGTTTATAAAATCATGATGGGCATGGATAGGATGAACAGTTAAGGTCTTTTCCCCAGGGTAGTGGAGTCCAAAACTAAAAGGCATAGGCTTAAGGTGAGGAGGAAAAGATTTAAAAGGGACCTAAGGGACAACGTTTTCATGCAGAGTGTGGTGCGTGTATGGAATGAGCTGCCAGACGAAGTGGTGGAGGTGGGTACAATTACAACATTTAAAGGACATCTGGATGGGTATATGGATAGGAAGGGTTTAGAGGGATATGGGCCAAATGCTGGCGAATGGGACCAGATTAATTTAAGATATCTGGCCAGCATGGACGAATTGAACTGAAGGGTCTGTTTCTGTGCTGTACGTCTCTATGACTCTATATATTGTATGAGGAAGGGTCACGGGACCTGAAACGTTAACTCTGTTTTTCCCTTCACAGATGCTGCCAGACCTGCTGAGCTTTTCCAGCAACTTTGTTTTTGTTCTATATATTGTCCTCAGCTTTATCAACAGGGTTGGGGGAGGCAACGGCCAAATGGTATTATCGCTGGACTGTTAATCCAGAGACCCAGATAACGTTCTGGAGACCCGGGTTCGAATCTCACCACTGCAGATGGTGGAATTTGAGTTTAATAAATATCTGGAATTAAGAATCTAATGATGACCGTGATTCCATTGTCGATTGTCGGGAAAACGTAATGTCCTTTAGGGAAGGAAACTGCCATCCTTACCTGGCCTGGCCTACATGTGACTCCAGACCCACAGTAATGTAGCTGACTCTCAATTGCCCTCTGGGCAATTAGGGATGGGCAATAAATGCTGCCTGGCCAGCGACGCCCCTCATCCCATGAATGAATGAATTAAAAAAAAGTACAAGAAATAGGAAATGATGTTAAACCCACACCAGGCACAAGTTAGACCTCAGCTGGAATATTGTGTCCAGTTGTGGGCACCAAATCACAGGAAAGATGTGAACACATTGGGGAGAGTGCAGAAACGATTTACAAGAATAGTTCCAGGAATGAGAAACTTAGATTGAAGAAGTTGGGATTGTTATCCTTGAAGGGACGAAGGCTGAGAGGAGATTTGGTAGGGGCTTTCAAAATCATGAGTGGGCTGGATAGGGTAGACAGGGAGAAGCTGTTCCTGCTTTTAAAAGCCAAAACAAGAGAGGGAATAGATTTACAGTGACGCATAAACAGGGCGATGGTGATGAGAGAAAAAAACCGAATCAACCATCAGGTAGTTAGGCTGATAAGTGTGCAGCCTGGAAATATGGTGGAGGCAGGTTCAGTTGGGGCATTCAAGAGGGCATTAGATGATTATATGGATAGAGATGGCATGCAGGGACCTGTGGGAAATGCAGAAGATTGTCATTAAGCAATAGAACTGATGGGCCAAGTGGCCTCCTTCTGCCCATTACAATCCAGCGATTCTGCTAAATAAATGCAAGTTCCTTCATTGTTATTTTGCAGGGGGTTATTGTGGAAAACCCAATGTGGCTCTTGCCTGTGAAACAGCCATTTTTGTGGTGGAACTCTGAGATATTGATCTGGACATCTTCCCATTGAGTGTTGGATTAACAATGGTTCCTGTGTCCATTTCTTCTGTTCCAGGGACCCCTTGAGACTGCAGCAGTTACAGAACCAGGTCTTGGCAGAGCAGCAAGGAGGAAGCAATTGGCCCAGTCAACAAGTGTTGTACCTCCCACAGTGCTCACCGCCCTTGACCCAGTTAGCCCCTTCCCCCATGAGCGTGCTGAACCCCCATATTCCCTCAGCCATGCAGCAAGCATCCACCTTCAATTACGCCCGGCCTAAGCAGTTCATTGCTGCTCAAAGCCTTCCGTCTTCTGCCGGGTACCTGTCTCCTTCTTCTGGCTCTTCGGGGTCTAGCCTGTCCTCCCCTCTGTCTCCCCCCACCTCGCACAAGCCCTTTAACCGGGTTACCATCCCACAGCCCTCTCTGGGTGACTCCGAGCAGCGGTACCTCACCTCCCCTTCCACGCTGAGCCCTTCCTACTCCTCCTCACCTCCTCTCCCTCCTCCTCCGCCGGTCCTTACTCCCCCCGCTTTCTTTCCTCAAGACCCTTTCCCTCTGCCACCCCCACCCCCGCCTCTCCTCTGTTCTCCCTCCCAGCCTCCCTACCCGTCACCCTCAGCTGGTAGGGCCTCCCCTCACTCCGGCCAATCGCCTAGTGCCTTCCTCAGCTCTGTGTTGCCGTCACAGTCAATTGCATCACCCATCAATGCACTGGGTCTTCCGAAGGGAGCCATCGCCATGTAAGTAAGCCTCAAGGCGCTCTCTCACCACTCTACAATATGTCTTGTCACTCTGTGGTTCTAACATTTCTGCAGGTAGTAGATGAGCAATGCTACCTCTGGGGAGGTGGTGACTTCCTGGTATCGTGATTGGGTAAGTAATCCAGAGGCCAGGGCTGAAGTAGGGACACAGCCACAGCAGATGGTGCAATTTGGATTCAATAAAAATCTCGCATTAAAAATCCTTTTGATCACTGTCGGTTGTTGTAAAATGCCCTATCCAAAGGATATCTGCCAACCTCTGTGTGACTCCAGGACCCACAGCAATGTGCTTGACTCTTAATTGCTGTCTGGGCAATTCAGGATGGGCAATCCGAGTTGGCTTAGACGGACCTCATAAAACTGTCAGTGAACATATCAACTCAGCCAACAAGGTGCAGAGCTGGATGAACACAGCAGGCCAAGCAGCATCATAGGAGCAAAAAGGCTGACGTTTCGGGCCTAGACCCTTCATCAGACCCTTCTGATGAAGGGTCTAGGCCCGAAACGTC